TTTGAAATAAATTCATATATTCCATTCCATATTTAGGTATCTATTCCTGTATTTATTAATACATTTATTTGATTTATTTAAGTGATTTTTCATCCTCTACAATGTTTTAGAGTTAGTCCTTGGACAGTATATTTTGCACAACCTGTTCCATCAGTGAAATAAGCTCAGTGGCTGAATCTCAGTCATGAACAGGAGGTGACACCAGTTGATTGCCCTAAAGACAGCCCAATCGCAGCACAGCAGCTGGAGACAAATCAGAATATTTTTGCATCCGGCATGCAAACAGCAGATGTTTATTTACTTGAACATTTTCCAAGTCACTGTTGTTCTGCAGACATCAAAGTTGAAGGCTAATTTAACATTTCAGTTTTCAAAAGCTGTCCAGAAAGATAAACAGAAGTCTGAAATTCCTTAAGGTGCATCCTCCGTCACTTAATTACACCCTTTGGGAAGAGAAGCACGACAAACTTCTCTTATCCTCCTCTTTATGCTGTTGTTGAGCTGGAAGACCCAGAAGTGACAGAAATATATTTTTTCAAAGTGAATGCCTTCATCTTCACTATTGGATTTTCTCCTTAATGGGTCATTTAAGGAGAGGGTGGAAAGCTTCATTTGTTGGTATCTTCAGGATGTTCAGAAAAGTGTCTTCCCAGTGTAGCATTCTTGATCCCGTCTGGATTTCTGACCTTCTTTTCTTTATCTCTTTCTCCTGACGAGGCTTCGCCTTTCCTCAATTAAAGGGACAGTTCACCCCAAAGTCAAAAACACATATTTTTCCTCTTTTGTAGTACTATTTATTAGTCTAGATTGTTTTGGTTTGAGTTACTGAGCATTGGAGGTATTGGCTGTAGAGATGTCTGCCCCTTCTCTTGAATATACCAAAAAAATACATTTGAAAAACTCAACAGCCGTTTTTTTTTCTTCAGAAATCATGACCCAGTTACTTAAGACAATCCACAGACCTTGTTGTAAGCAGTTTCACGAAACTATTCTTTTTCAAGCCTACCAAACAACACCCTATGACACCGCGCAGAACAAAGCATGCACTGACTGCTCGCTTACAACAAGGTCTGTGGATTACTTTGAGTACCTGGGTTATGATTTCTGGAGACTCAGTCTCACTTGGTCAGGGGCCCTTGGCGTAAGACATCAATGCACCATAGTATACTTTAGTATGTAACGCACTGTATGGCGGCATTTTTTGATGCTTTGAGCAATTGCCATATAAAAACCCAGAAAGTCACATGTGATATGCAATAAGGGAGGTGGATGGGTCAAACAAACTCAGGACTTTTACCCTGTTCGTGTCCTATGTGAAACCAAAAGTCAGTCGAATTGATTTTAATAAATGTGGTGTGCTAGCATGTGTAGCAAACTGCTAGTGACATATGCCACATGACGTTAAAATTACATTAGTAACAAACCTTAAGTATTACGGTTTGTAAGTATTAAAGCTAACCATGTGGTTTTCTTTCCTAAACCTAAAAATTAAGCGTTTTACCTACATTCGTAATATATTTTGAAAAGAGACTGTATGCATTCATGTACATTTCCTGTGAAAACTGCAGTTTATTTTGAAGACACAATCATTTAAAGCTATAGTGCGTAACTTCTGTTGCCTCCCAGTGGATAATGCGTTATTACAACTAATAAGCCGGCGGCACTTCCATGTACACAGAGTAACACTCGCCACACACTGTGTACACAGAGTAACACTGGCCAGTCGCCACACACCATGTACACAGAGTAACACTGGCCAGTCGCCACACACCATTTACACAGTGTAACACTGGCCAGTCGCCACACACCGTGTAAACAGAGCAACACTCGCTACACACCGTGTACACAACGCTACACAACGTGGCGAACACCAGGCTGCTAACATTACATTACGTTCATAGCACCATTTCCAAGAAAATAATAAAGTACTAGGTCCAATACATGTAACAGCAACACATACTACTCATAATATAATTATAAACCAAGTCACTTACTTATCCAACAGCAGCAAGGTAACATCCGTGTCTGCCCTCAGCCCAGTTTCTTCCTTCAGGGCTCTCCACAGAGGAAAAGCGACGCCAATACAAATCCTTGTTTGCCTTCTCCGTCGGTCACTTTCCTTCTTTGCTAATAGACCTTCAGCCGAACGTCCAGGCTTTTTCTTTGTGGTAGGATCCACTTCTGAACCGTGTCTCGGCCGCTTCTCCGCCATGTTAGTTTCACTTTCTACCTGCATTCTACCTCTTGCTGTTACACTCTCCACTCATCCTCCCCCTCCCTTCTTGTTGTGAGGAAGCATTTCCTGTGCGCCAGCGCGGGAATGTCGCCGGTCTACACGCATACTAAAAATGATATATATTGAAAAATACCGCGAGATGTTAGGAGCCGATCGGCTTAATCAGCATTGTGTCATCTCCTCTAGTAGTGGCTTGGGTGAAACGGACATTTACGGACCTGTAAAAGTTACGTACTATAGCTTTAACGAGCTTGAATTGACACACTTTCCTTTTGCGTCCAAAACTGACATGGTAGGGGTATCCAGCACATCATATTTTGATTTGTAGGGCAATTGACTAAGTGTCAGTATTTGACTAGTTGGGTAAGAAAGTGTTGTTTCTGGAAGGAGACATTGCTGTTGAGTTTTTCAAATGTATTTTTTTGGTGCTTTGATCATCACAAGCCAAGTGCCATCTAGTTCCATTATATTCAAGAGAAGGCAGACATCTCTACAGCTGATTTCTCGAACACTCTGCAACTCACGCCAAAACAATCTAGACTTATGAATAGCACCACAGGTAAGACAAAAAATATGCATTTTTGATTTTGGGGTGAACTGTCCCTCTAATGCTGATTTTAATCTTTTCATTGTTTGGATGTTAATCTGTATGTTTTTCAATTTTCAGCTGATTCAAATTTTAGTTTAAGAGTTTATCTGGCTTTTGTCTTTAATTTTATCACAACTCTACAACATAGTAATACGACTCCCATAAATACAATACAGATGTATGCTTTGTCCTCAGTTGGAATTCACAGAATAACAAAAGCAATGTGTTAAGCACACCATGTGAAGAGGAGTGAGTGAACATAACATTGTCCAAGGGGCAAATCCTTTGGCGTATGAGCATCACTGAAAGCCTGATGGCCAACACCTGTCTAAACACATGTAGATGAAATACAATAATCATCCGCTCCAAGATTAATAGACCCTTCTCTTTAAAAACCTTCATCTACCCAGGCAGGTCAGTCAAGTGCATGTTCTTGTTTACAGTGACAGCCCTCATGCCCCTGGGTCCCTAACAACAGGCTGAGTGAATCATAGTTTTGTCCAAATACTTTAGGATGAATTGGGTTTGCCCCAAGAAGTGTGTGTGTGAGCTGTTCTGTCAAACAGTGAGTATAACTTTTCCATTTGCAAATAGTGCTCTTTTCAAGGCACGTGTGTGTGTGTATGTGTTCCCAGGACAAGCAGATAGGAGGTTTCAGCACGTGGATGCTTCTTCTTAAGAAGCCTATAGAGCTTTTCTTTCTTTCTTTCTTTCTTTCTTTCTTTCTTTCTTTCTTTCTTTTTAATTGGCAAAAAAAGCTTCACAATTGCTGCCTGGTCAGATTGATCATCTTGAACTCTAGTCAGCACTAGGTGACAGAATAGCACACTTACGGGGAGTAGGACAATAATAGCATGAACACTGCTGTTTATTCTGCAAACATTTTTTAAGGTTTGAAGGCAAGTGGATGAATCTATCCTGGGTTATGTGCTAATATTAAGTACTGGGATTTCTTTGTCTTTTTGTTTTTGCTCCCATTTTCCACAGGTTTAAGTTAAAGATCACAGACTTTAATCATGCACTCAGCAGATATATTTCTCTCAAATATTGTTCACAAAGTTTTTAAAATCCCTGTTAGTGAACGCTTCTCCTTCTCCAAGATAATCCATCCTGATGGGCATGGCACAACAAGAGGCTATTTAAACAGCATCATTACTACACAGGTGTACCCTGGGATGTTCACAATAAAAAGCCACTCTACTATGTGCGGTTTGATCACACACACACAATGCCACAAGTTTTAAGCAAGCGTGGCATTGGCATGCTGACTGCAGGAATGTCCACCGGAGCTGTTGTTGTGAGGTGAATGTTCATTTCACTACCATAAGATGTCTTTAATGTTGTTTCAGTGAATTTGGCAGTACATCCAACCAGCTTTGTTTGGTTACTATGACAAACTGCTGTCACATCAAGATCCTGGTGAGAACATTGAGCATCCAGATGAGTGTCCCTGAGGTAATGTCTGATGGTGTGTGCAGAAATTCTCGGGTTGTGCAAACCAATTATTGCATCAGCTGTCCAGGTGGCTGGTCTCAGATGATCCTGCAGGTGAAGATGGTGGATGTGGAGGTCCTGAACTGGTGTGGTGTAGGCTGGTTGAAAGTCCTGCTTAGGGAGACGGCTTATGGTGGTGAAGTGAACATTCAGTTCACAGGCAAGAGCTCTGGTGGAGATTCCTGCAGTCAGCATACAAATGGCATGGTACCTTAAAACTTGTGACGTCTGTGGCATTTTGTTGTCACTGCACATTTTAGAGTGGACTTTAATTGTGAGCATCCTGAGGCACACCTGTGTGGTAATGATTATGTTTAATGAGCAGCTTGATAAGCCACACCTTTTAGGTGGATGGATTATCTTGGAGAAGGAGAAGTGCTCATTAAGACAGACTGTATTACATTTGTAACTAAAATTTGACATATAGCCATCTATTGCATAAAAAAGTATTAGATCTTTAACTTAAACCTGTAAAAAATGGGGACAAAACAAAAGTGTTGCATTTAAAGCTTTGTTCAGTATACTTATATTGATGTATGCAACGGCACGACAGTCAAACATATTCATTCAACAGTAGCAGGTTTAGTTATTGTATAATAATTGTCATACCTGAAACAACAAGGATTCGTCTTCTGCTCTGCGGAACTGTTTATCTGCCGCCGTGTCTACACGGACAACAATAACGAACGGCATTCGCTGCGCTTCCGTTGCCCATGACACCGGAGCGAAGTTCTGACAGCTGATTCTCCAATCAGTTTATATCCACTCGGAGCTCCCAAATAATCACTTTTGAAGTTATTTACAGTCGGACGTGCCTCCTTTCACCTCCGGTTGGAGTTGCAGACAGCGCCTTGAACAGAGGAGGGCGGCTGATTATGGTGTAGCAAGGAGCGCTAGCCCTGAGACAGCAGGTAAAAACGCTCAGTTAACACACAAGCTAACACTAGCTAGCACACATACTTCATTAATAACTGGCGGCCGTCTTCATTAACTGAAACAAGTGTCATATCTCCGTGCTCTCGCCCCCATGTGAGAGTAAAAAGCCTGAGCTGAGACCGGTTTTAAGCTTGGACGTTGTGCCTAGCTAGCTGTGATTAGCGGTGTTAGCGGTTTGTTATTACGATTATTAGCGAGCGAAAAGTACAGTGACGAGGCGGTAACTGAACTTCTAAAAGTATTTACACCAGCATTAATTATGCTTTCATGTCCTCAAGAGGTCTGGTTTTAAGCGATGCGCACTTGCCTGTGTTTTAGTATCATAAGAAGTTAGCTGGAGTTCTTTAGTTGTTGTCGACAGTGAGTTACAGGGGACATTTTGAAATTAAAGACAGGCTACATTCTGTTTTACTAAAGAGAACTTACTCTGTTTGCCACCAGTGTATGGTTTTACGTGGCTGTTGTACATACGCTTATTATACTGTGAAAAGGATGGGTGTCTTTGCGGTAGATCCAGAGGAATTCGGTGTGATTGCACAACATGAGGGAAAAACTGTCAGATTTTTTCATCAGTGTTTGCGTGCTTATCTTCTAGCTAGTTGTAACAACCTGTGTGCGTCTATGTACCTTCTCTGCCAGCTTAGTTATCTGCTTGTGCTGCAAGGTCCTGTCCCCCTGCAGCTGTTTGACTAACATCCAGGTACTCTGTGTGTCAGTGGGCAACACCAGGGTGCAGTGACTGACAGCTGAGGCAGGTGGGCATTGACTTAGACTCAGTGACACACATTTTCTGGGCTCGCTGATACCTGATAGCTTCACCCTCTGCAACTGCTGCTCCCTGGATGAGTTCACCCGGTGCTCAGAGTGGACACACGGAGTGCAGAGATGCCAGCGTAGTGCTCTATTAAGACCTCTCCACCACCTGCAGTTATGTACAAGAGTAAAAGAGTAATGGTGGCTTAAAACAACAGAGGGGACCAGTGGGATCAGCTGGGTTATATAACATTTAGTGAGTGATGGAAGCAGGTTATCAAGGGGGTTGTTGATCCATACAGATGTGGCTGCACCAGGCAAGGTGATTGCAGATGTCTTTGAAAGGTTGAATTGTCTTTAAAGTAGCTCTTTATAGTTATTTATTGGTGGTAGTCTGCATACTGTTAAATTTAAAGTCGGGTTTCTTACCATGAGCTGTACTGAATTCTGGAATATGTGCAGAATAACACATTACTTTCTAATTTAAAATATTTCTTAGATAATTTGATATTCAGGCTAATGCATAACATATTATGTTTGCCAGACTTAAGCTGCCGTTTCCTAATTGGAATACATGAATTCATTACAGATTTGTTATTTTTACAAATGCACAAGAAACATTTCCAGGAAACAAGTAAACAACAGCAAAGCAGAGGCAGAAACCCACTCAGGCGAGTGTTGCCTGGCATCGATAGTTACGGTAAGACATGTATAAGACATGTTTACAAAGAGGAAATGCTTTCATCTCTAAGTTGTATTGATCTCATACCATAGATGGTTGCTTCCTGCTGCAGCATTGATAGGAACATTGGCAGATGCATGACTTTTTTGACTTTGTACTCTACAGCTATAGTGAGTCTGTTGATTATCATTTAGCAATTACAATATGCTGTTCATACTATGAGAGGATTTGTGGTACTTCTCTCTGTAGGCTCTCATCTGTCTTGCACAATCACTTTTCTGAGATGATTGGAAATAAGAGAGTGTCAAAGATAAGATGAGTTTCTGTTCCCCTCTTGCATACAACAGCCCCATACAGGAAAGTGAATAACCACTACTGTAAACCACAGCAGTTAGGGTGTGGCGGTTTTTGGCATCTTTCAGCAGTGGTGAAGTGTTCATATGATGACTATGCTTATTTGTCTCTCAATAGAAAGTCTAACAAAAGCACAGTAAGCTTAAATTGATCATGAATGTAAGGAGCAGGTGGGCAGAATTCAAACCCATTAGCTTTTACTGCAAAGATAAAGACAAGAGAATAGGCTTCTGTATAAAGGAAAGGCTGTCTTATTAATTACCTCCTGTAGATAGTCTCTTATAACAAGACTGTAACTCAACACTTACATTATTAGAGTCGTGGCCCCACATGTCTCTCCTCAACAGGGAATCCAATTCCAATTGGCTGCTCTAATCGATGTCAAGCACTTCATTAATCTACCGTAATTCAATGGTGTCGTAGTTGTGAGTTAATTGCTGCAGCAAGAATAGGAAGGAGTTGACTTAAACCTCATCATTTCCACATGTCTCACCCATTAAACACTTACCAATTCAGTCCTTTTTATGTTTTTGCCTTGAGACCCACACTGACGATAGCCTGACTATGCGTGGGTTGAAAATCTTTTATGGCAAAACTTGGATGTAGTATTACTAGCATGATGGGAAAAGATTAATCAATTCTCAGCAGAACTGAGCTTGCGCTTTGGATGTAATTTACCTTGAAAGACATTTCCTTATATTATCTGTATCTTTTATATGTGCGGTGTCATGTTGGGCTGGAGCCTGTTCCGGCACATTGGGCTGGAGGCGGCCTGAACAGGTCATCAGGCTATCACAGGACTGACATTACTAGGCAGAGTACAAGCATTCACATTTTCAATTGTGAGCGGTTAAAGTTGCGACTTCACCTTGTGCGCGTGTCTTTGGACTGTGAGCGGAAACCCAGCCATTTTTAAAAATGATCAAACATTTTGTGCTTCCTTTTTCTCTGTTCTGCAATGATTCATTTTTGCTTTATGGTCTGCGTTTGATTTTCAGGCTTTTGAGCAGCAGTGCAGTGCGGCAGAGTGCAGCGTGGGGCAGACTGAGGCAGATCACAACAGCTTAGCCATGCTTACGTTGGCCAATAAGCTGAAGAGGGATGATGGAGGAAAGACGGGCCGTGCCTCTGGAGCCTCCGACTCCACCCATAGGGTCTCCATCAGGGACCGCCTCCTTACCAAAGGTATCTGAGTCATTGTCCACTTTATCCATTGTGTATTTCTTCAGTTCAGATTCTTTTTTTTTCTTTACAGAAGCAAAACAAACCAGGCAGCTAAATACTTAAAGACTATAGTTTATTTCAATAGAGAAACATAAAATTGTTCATGTTCTTTTTCCTCCGTGGATGTTTTGGCTTCTCCTTTTACTTCTTTTTCTCTGTTTCTACCTCCCTCTCTTCATTCCTCTTTACTCTCTGTCGGTGTTTTTCTTCTTGCTCCTTGGTTTTTTATTTATAGGTACCTATCGCCACCTTGAGATGCAGCTTCCAGACACCTGCCTCCTCTCCCCCTATTTAAATTTCAAACAGTTGTCCTTCTCAGTTTTGTCACTCCGTTTACATTTGTCTCATTCTCACCACTTGCGCCTGACACCATTTTCCATCATGTTTTCACCTCTCTGGGTTCTCACCGGTCTCTGCTTTAGTCCGTATATTTACTTAAAGGTATCATTTTACCTGAATACTGTAACCAGTGAAATTAAGATTAAAGTTTGATGTAACTGTTTTATAGTAAGTTGAACTGCCCAAAAACTGGAATGAAGGGGAATGTCACTTTGATTGAATTTTCACAAGTGCTTTTTCAAGTGCTTGGCTGTGCAAACCTCTTCATAAAACATCATATACTCCTAAATTTCAAAAGCTCATATAAGTAATTAGTTAATGCTTCATGCATCTGGTTTATAAGAACATTGCATTATTTATAATTAGAGTTGATTCAACAATGGTTTGTCCACTGCTGGTCCAATGTCATTTACAGTTCTTTATAAATGTGAGTGAACAGAATCCTACAAGCACCTGTCAGTGTAATGCCCTTCAGTACAACATCAGAGTCTCTTGGATTGCTGTTGCCTTGTGGAAGTCCTTTTTTTCCCAGGGGTGATAATACAAGGTCAAGTCCAGTTCTGAGGCAGGAAACTGCTTAAATGAGCTGGCCTGGGACCAGCGCTTCATAACGCTCAAACTGAAGTTTACAAGTTTGCTGTAACACACAGATGTTTGAGTAAAACATTGTCCATTTTATGAAAGCAAACAGAAACCTGCTCCCTGAGGAGATCTTATTATTACCCATCTTTTCTGCTCTTGCCAGGAAAGCGTGATTGCTTCATTATCTCAGTCTGTTACACAAATCAAATCGTACTGATCATTACTTTTCAGAGAACATCAGTGGCCATGTAAAATAGCTAAATGTGGACAAATAATGCCGTGCTTGTTGAATAAACCATCTACTACTTGGGGCATAAAGACACATACTACAGCAGCTGATGTCGCTGTCAACCAGAAGGGAGGACTCTTAGTGTTGATAATTTTTGGATGATCTTAGGGCAGGGATTTTACAAATATGAATAGGTCCCTCACATTTGGCACAAGTAGGCTATGGAGAAAAGTACTTGTTTTGATAAAAGGCGGTTGTTGGGCTCATTGAGCAAAACAGCAACTTCCTGCCAGCTCCAAGAGAGCTGTTAAATAGCTGACTTTATACTCTGACCTCCAAAGTGAAAGAAATACTGAGTTTGATTGAAGTGGCTATTTATTACACTCTGCACTTGTCAAAGAATATGTTTATATAAATGACAATGGAAAATTTTCAGCACGACATGTGAGAACAACAACATAGACAAAGTATTTTCCCCCCCTTGCCTCTTTGTGTTGAAGTGTTAAACCTGCTGACACAAATAAGCAGTGATTAGAGTCTCAGAGATGTAAAAACAAAACAGAAAACCTGTGAGCTTTTAAAAATCCAACTAGACTTAACCCAGAGGCAACACTAGCGAAACATTCCTCTGCTCTTTACATGTCTTTCTGTTGCTTTGCTTCTCTCCATCTCTTTTTTCCTCCTCCCTTTTGTTACCTGCTGATCGAGTTATTCTACTTTTTGTCTCTGCTACATTGTTTGTATGCATTTTACAACTTGCATATTAGGCGTTATGTTTTATGCAGAGCAACTTTCTTGACTGACTCATATAAAAAGTGTGAGTGTGACAGTGTCAGCTCTCTGTGTAAGGTTCTCACTTCTGTCAGTGTGTGTGTCACTTATACGTTATTCTTTTTTCTCTCTTCACAGAAGTTGCAGAACTTGAAGCCAATCTCCCTAGTAAGTATGCGTACACTTCCATACACGCTGATCTCATTCAGTGAGTTCAGTCATACTCATTCTCTGAGATCATTGCACTTTGCATTCCTCTTTATGTTTACATTAGCGTTTCATCAGCCCCACATTTTCTCCGAGTCAATACATGTGCAAGTGAATAACTCAGTTAATACACCATGAATTCTTATAGTGTTCTCCAGGTTCTTACAATTTCTCAACTAAAGTAAAAACAGTCTTTTTCTTTTTGCTACAACATGGAGGAATGTTGCTTAAGAAGGACAAGGCGTGCTTGATGTATTGTTCCAAGCTTGCCAAGTATTTGTCACTATATTTTTGTGGTATTAGGACAGTTTTACAGATGTTTGAATAGAAGCAGAAAACAAAGCCAAGCCTATAGACAAGCTCCACGTTGTGATCTTTGCCAGGTGCCTTGATTATTTTTGGTGTAGGTAATTTGTGACAATACTTTAAACTGTGTTGCAGAGCCAAAATGCTGCTTAGATGGAGTCTGATTATTTTTTCATAGTAAATTTGGTAAATGTGTCTTATTTACAGTAAATACCTTTTGATAGAGTAGGCCTTGCAATTCTTTGTAATTATGCACCTCAAAAATATTTGTTAACAGCTAGCTAGTCTAAACTACTGCCATTTCATCAAGGCCTAACAAAATTATTTAGATTTTGATTTTTAGCCAGATCGCCCAGCTCTTCTACATAAGTGTTTACTGTATTAAGCTGGAAATGAGCCATGCTCTTAAGTATAAACACATGCACTTTGAGCCTTGGATGGATTACATGCTTGTTATACTTCTGGCCTCAGGATTTATTTGTTCAAACAGACCTCACCCCCAACTGCTCTTTAGTTCTGGCTTTTATTTGAACATTTACATTATTGTTTGTCAGATCTTCATTACCCAGTTATCTGGTTATTGTTATGCATGAGTGCTGAATTAATTATGATTGTTTTGGCTGTTGCCTGTTGTTGTTTGCGGTCTGATGAGTTTGCCGTCACGGCTGAGGACCATGGAAGCCTGAGAAACAGTATTGACAAGAAAGTAAGAAAGCTGACCGGTTGCTGGGGAATAGGTTGTTATACATCTGCTATATAAGAACAATAATAAATCAGCTGTGTTTATCTACACAGTATGGGTGAAAAAATACGATAAGCTCATAGATTGTATTTATATTTAGTTTCTGGGGGGATGCACTTTCATGCATGAATCTACGCAATAGCCTGTATGTTTGCTGCATACTGGTGGCTGCTCTACACTTTTCTGTGTATGAGAGATACTGCTGATACTCAGAAATACACTCCAGACAAATAATCTCAGTAGTTCTGGGGTTGCTGGCCTACACCCTTAGGGAACTAAGGTGAAAAACTGGAGTGAAAAACACTGCACCGTTTAAGAAACCATACAGTTCTCATGACTATTACGCTCATCCGATCCGTGCTTTATTACAAACAACAATGATGAAAAATGGTTTTCATGAGACTTAAACACCGTGCTCCATGGAAACCTGCCTTTGCGCCGTGGATCTGGACATCCTGTATGGCACGTATAGATTATCCCTTACGGGCAGACAAGAACTCAGGGAAATGTAGGAGGGGATCTGAACGAGTAGTAGTGTTGTCAAAACACCATAAAGGACACAATTAGCCTCATGGAAGAACCACTCATATGAAGAGGTTGTTCTTAAAGATATACTAGGCAGGATTTTCCTGAAAAACAATTTATGGATTCGTGACAAATGTCATCCCTGTCCATCATCATTTATGACCTACTATAAATTTATCTGTTTATCTGTAGAGCCTCTGCCTGCATTTTCTTATTGTTCCTCTACAGTGGCAATAGCTGTGGCTGGAGCTATTATTTTTTCAGGTTGTCTGTCCATCCGTCTGATCGTCCATCCCATTCTCGTGAACACAATACCTGAAGAATGCCTTGAGCGAATTTCTTTAAAGTTGGTGCAAATGTCCACTTCACTCAATGATAAACTTATTAGAATTTTATTGGTCAAGGTAAAGGTCTCTTTGACCTTCCATCTTTCTCACTCTCGTGAACACAATATCTCAAGGAGGCCTTGATGGAATTTTTTTCATTATTTGGCACAAACATCCACTTTGACTGAACAATTAACTTCTTAGAATTGGTTGGTCAAAGGTCAAGGTGACATCATAATATCTCAGGAACAGAAGGGGAGACATTTGGTCAGATACTGAATCGGTGACACTAATCTTGGGTGTCCACCTTGAAACTGTGCTGATTGTATAGGTCTTCTGTGCAGCCGGACGAAATGTATGTGAAGCATTCATGTTTTCACAGACAGGGCTGTAAACTTTAACTTACACTTGACTGGTTTGCGAAGGCATACAACCGTAAGGTGGTAATTCTAGTTTTCCTCTTATCTTGCTGTGCGTGCAGGTGAGTTTTGGATTTAATAAAAAGGTAGCAAATATGTGCCAGACCGTGAGCAGCACTCATCCAAGAGGAAGCTACAAAAGTCGCAGATGTAGCACTGAAAAACAAAAACGCAAATATAGCCAGGCCAAATGCCTGTTCCAAAATGAGAGCGATTCTGGGGTTGGCTTTCATTTTCACTGGCGGTACAAACAGTAACTGACAAGTAGCATGTACAAGCAGTTTGAGAGAATTTGTGGCATTCACCATTGTCCTCATATTAAGGTTTTTCTCTCAAGTGTGAAAACAGTGTACAAGTGGTACAGACCTACTGCACGAGTCATGTACACAAAGCGTTTTTTCACTGCAGGAAAAATCGTACGTGATGATATGTGTTAAGAATGAACTTGTAGTTCAAGCATTTATTATCATTATTATCATTATCATTATCATTATCATTATCATCCTTCCAAACATTACCACACACAGACTTGTACACATATCCTAAACACACATTTTGTACTGTTGTATAATGTTATTTGATATGTCTGATGATTGTTGGGGCATGTGATGCTCTACAAATTTCAAGCCAAGTTTGCGTAAATGATTTATGAGCTTGGTGGGAAAAGTTTGAAAAAGACAAATTAATTTTCAGATGTGATAAGATGATCAGTTGTTTGTCAAGTGCTGTATTTTACGCGCAGCCCCTAGTGGATGATCTGCTCTGCCTGACTAAAAGGTAGTTGAAGTGCATTTCATTCAATGTTTCCTTTACATCCATTACAGTCATTACCACTAACAAGAAGTCTAACAATATGTGTCATTAAGAGCCTTGTGTATCTTGAGGCAGGTTTTACACAGAGTAAAAGAGGGAAAGTTATTCAGTGAAAAGAGCTGATTTGATTTCATGTTTGATATAAAACTTCTTACGCATAAACATATTTAAAAGACTTTCTCATATGTCAACTGTCATACGCGCAGTACATGGCCTTGAACACCAGGGGGGAATGTGGTGCCACAGGGAGTCCCGAGGCATAAATCCTGCAGTCTGTGTGGACAGAATGAACACACTGTAGCTCAGGAGGGATTTGATAAAAAAATGATATATAATATTGATGTAAATGCCATTATTTTGTACAAATGCAAGTAATATGACTTTAATAACTAATAACCTTCCCCTCCGTTTGTTGTTGTTCAGGTACATGCAAAGCCAATTTCCCAGATGAGGACAAGCTGCATCATTTTCAGCTGGCAGTGTCTCCTGGTAAGAGAATAATCATTGATCTCAGTAACCTTGTCTGTTCTTACACCAATAACTGCTTGAATAATTTCACAATTGCTTGGGATGCAGAAACAGTTAGACACAACTAGTTTCATTTTGACTTCCACCCTTGCCAATTATGTATACACTTATTACAGCAGTGCTGTTGCTTAGTTATTATTTTAGTGGCTTCTGAGTTTAATGTTGTTTTGTAATTAAACATGTTTTAAGTGAGACTCAGTCAAATTCAGTATCTGAAATAAAAAGCAAGCACTGATCAGATTTGCCGGTGTAGTGTAAGAGATTCAGTTTGGATTGTGATATTATTAACCCCTTATTAAAGCCCCACAAAATGCAGGATACAACAGGTAGAAATGCCCACCAAATACACCCAGAATCCTTTAAGTGAGTGGGCAAACCTAGCAGGGAACCTGAACCAGGATAGTGAAAATAAAAAGAATAAAAAACCTTGTAATGTACATATGTAACAACAACCTCCCCCTTTTTTTTTAGCTGTGTCATTGTACACAGAGCAATGCGGGAGTCACAGCATGGCAGGCTGTTAACTTTACAAACCAAGTCTTGTTTTGAAAATGACCTAACCACAAAACCAACTGTGATGGAAGTTGAGAAGACTAATATAAACGGAGGGCAGCACAGGGCAGTGTAGCTCCAGCGCTGACTGTCAATGAAGTTGGCTAAACTTCTTTTGAACCTGTCACTAGTACAACCTCCTCTACTGCTGTCCAGTGTGATTAACTTTTCAGCTGATACTGCTTTCAGCAGCCATGTCGGAGAGATGCTCCTTGGTGTGCTCGGATTTTATATCTCAACTATGACCATTATGACACTTTTACTTTCTCTGACAGATTGTAGATTTGATGTTTGCACATCAGATGATCAACAAAGACATTAAAACGTGGGTCTCACAGGTATAACATGAGACTAATGTAGGCAGATGTAAGAGTTTTGAGTGTGGGGCTGCAGCTCTGCAGGTTAGCAGAACTGGCACCAACTGGCCAGAGGAGTGAAAATAGATGGCTCATATTTATAGGTAGGGTCAACTGAAAACATCAGTAATGATGTTAAGTCTTTATGTGGCAAATAATATTCATAGATAAAGCATGAACCACAAGCACATGACAAGTTGAATCTGAGTCGAGTCTGAAAGTCCTATTGCGATGACATCCCTAATAACAAATGTGAAAATTGGGACTACAAATTGTCATCCTGATGAGACACGCTCAGATTTTGTACCATCTTACTTCCAGACAATATGCGGGGTTTGAGTGTGCAGGTTGTGGGGGAGTATGTTGTGTATGATGAAGTGGGAGACTGCAAATCTTAGCAAGTCTATGTGTGTCTTTAGGTATTCCCCTTGAAATGGCACCCCCAGTCTTCTCTGTATTTCGGTATTACCGCAGCGATGTCATTATTCCACAAGTCCAATCTGCTTGCTCAGCAGTGTTCCAAGCAAAATTGGCTACCTGTCGAATATGTACAAACCGAGCACACTGGTGTGGGATTACCCAAGTCTCTGGAGGCTCTCTCTTACCTCTCACTTCCTGCTCCGTATTTGTCTTACACTTTCTATCTGTCCTCTACACCGTCACCTTTTCATTTCAAGGAGAACGCATGCCAGAGACCGAGAGAAACATAGCTTTGCGTATGAGTGTGAGTCATAGAAAGTGAAGGACACATAATTGAGGATAATGAAACATGGAGCGAATATTTTCAAACGACAGATTGAAATTCAGACCTCTGACACATGTTGGGAAAATTGTGCAGAATTGTTGGCTAATCTGAAATGATCAAAAAAAAAAGGATAACTGGTTCATTAAAACTTGGATCCTATTTTCCATCAGTTTCTATCAGTTTTTATAACACTGTGCACAGCAGATGGGGAACATGCCACCACTGTGACAATTAAGTCCAACAAAAAGCACAAGTTTCAGATGATCAAAGAGGGTGGAAAGACCACATTATATAAACCACTTTACTTTTCACTTGGAGGTATAACCAAAAGTAATAATCCCGATAATAACACCTTGTAGCACAAAAAGGTATGAAAATATTGGGTATTTGCAGCTCTAATGTTAAGCAATTATAGCACTATATGCTTCCTCTGATTCTTTTTTACTTATTCTTTATTTGAATAGTTAATCATTTGAATTACAAACATTGGCACATTGGCATAATTGTTCGCCTTAATTCAGCATTAAATGCTGCATTTTAGGGGCATTTCATATTTAGTTGTGTACATTTGTTACAAGAGAACTGACTGAAGTCACTGCATCAATTTTTATCAACTAAAACACTATGATATCTTGATGTTTTAGTAAGTGGTGATATCATTTAACATTCTCAAGCTCTCCCAGGCCTTGTGTGTCAATGTGTGCAAGCGTAAGTAAGTGCATGTGAATGTGCGTGTCTGTGATTCATCCGTCTCCCTGTCACCAGAGTAAGCACTGTAACTGCAGCTTGGTTTTCACAAAGGTCTTTGTAAGCAAAATCTGCAAAGAAAAGCAAAGATCAGCAATTAGAGACAAGGTTGGTGTCATGTTCTTTAAGAGGAGTTGATAAGGCGATTGAGTTCTTAGAGGAAGACTTGCTCAATTATTCAGAACCTCTGTCTTTCCTCATGTACACCCCCCCTCCTCCACCCACACCTTCCCCGCACCCTTCTCACTTCTTTTCACTTGCACTTTTCTTGCTTTCTTTCTCTTTTCTTTTGTTCTCTTCCACTTGTGTACTCTCTCTGTGTCCCCTCTACTAAAAACTAGGCAATACATTTGGTGTTTTAACACAAGGGCCACAGTTTATCATTTTTATTCTACAGCTAGGGCACTGGAGACAAACCTACACTATATTATCAAAGTACAGTGTTAGATCCAAAGTACTGTTGGGCACGTCAGTAAGCATGTGAGTGAAAATGCTGCCATATGGCTCATTTCTACATGCTGGCTTGGCTTGACTGGGCTTTACCTGACACGTCAGTCCAGCGCAGCAGGGATTTGCGTCTCTGTACAACAGGGCTATCTGCTTCAAAGTGTGTCTTTAACCGATGATGTGCTTGTCTTAAGTCAGTGATGTTTTAAAGGGTTATTATTGCACTGTGCAGCAGTTGTGGTAACCAGCTACTTAGCATCATGGATTTTCAGGCGGTTGCTGCAATATTGCTTGTGATTTACTGCTTATTGCTTGAAAAACGGAGACAGAATGGAGAAATGGATTGTGAATTATCACTGAATGTTGGCACTGAATCATCTCCGAATGGTGATGAAGCCCATCTGACATCACTGCAACCTGCTTGGAGGTGCTTTGACGTGACTTGGCACACCTTGGCATGTTAAAACTGGGAATCGAAATGCAAATCAACATGGCATGTTTCAACTCAGGATGGCCAGAAGTACCAATAGAAAAGCCCTTATAAAGGCCTCTGTGTGACCTTCTGGGAATACATTTTTCTGTAGACCTGTCTCTTGTCCCTCACTCTCTAGCAGCTGACAGTAAAAAAACAAAAGAATGAATTTCTAAAATCACAAATCGGGTAAATTCGTAGGTGTCTCACTTTATTGTGTCTTTATTGCTATCAGATTTCCTCTCAGAATCGAAGTTGATTATATGCACAGAAGCTTTAATTTGCACCACAAGGGAAGTGGTCAGGAAAATATAAAATACAGATGCATCTTGCCTCAGGATGCAAGTTGTCCAATATCTCTTCTATCCAACCCAGTGTAAGGTAAAATCATCTCGACTTGAGAATTTATAGCTCAAGGCTTACATAAGTGCCTTTTTCTTTTTTCTTTTCTCTTTCCTCTTTTGTGTTTTCTTCTGTTTTGTTATCTTCTGCATTTCCCATGGGAATGACAGAAGCTCTATTTACTCTAGATGAAATTTTTCATGCTACAGGTAGTGCTGTAAAGCTTTTGAGTGACTGCTTGTGGTTCAGAAAAAAACCAGGCTCATGTGTCAATGAGTGTAAAAAAAAAGCTTCACATAATGTGTCAAAAACAGAACAAGGCTATTATGTCTTGTCAACAACACTCTTGTGTTATTGGAAGCATATGGTGTAATATCCATCCTGTTGGAGATGGCTGCCTGCATTGTTTTTCATTTAAAGAAAGATTAAAATCATCTACCTCAAAGACCTAAGGAAAAAAAAACAGATTGCCTGGATATAATTGAAGCTATTTGGGTGGCTCAGAGCAGGATATTTTATATAGTTTTATATTTCTTTTTACTATTAGACTGCATGTTACATCTAAATATTTTATCAACATGTATTTATTTTTTTTTAAGCTCAGATCAGTTGGAATGTCTCTTTAGTTACTCGACTTGGTCTAGTTCCCTTTTCCCATGCAGCAGCTATGTGCCGTGACCCCGTTGCCCCAGACCCCTGTGTCTCTGAGGAATGGGGACAGCAGCAACACTCTGGGGTGAACACATTCTCACATGTCACTGTTTTGATTGAAATACAATAATGAAAGCAATGTGTCGTGCAGATGATATTGTCTCTGTGTTTCAGATGTGTACTTTTTCTGTTGTTGCTTGATTTGCATATGAATAATTGGTGTGCTGTTATGCACATTGCTGCAGAGAACTGCAAATTGTGTGTGTACTTGAGTGTATGAACAAAGTCTATTGGGCTTTCACACCTGAAAGTCCGGACCAAGGTCCCTGTTTTTGTTACATTGTATACATTTGGTCCCTTGGTTTTGCATTCACTTTGCAATTCTGTGAGCGGACTAAAGAACTTTACATGACATAGTTACGTTCATCTACGTGGGTTGCGTCACCTTATATTTGACATCGATTGGTTTATAAATGGGCAGGCGTCTGACGTCAGTGTGTTGTCAAGTAGGCGGGTAGAAATCCCCTCAATGTTTACAGACATTACCTCACGAAAATGGACGAACCAATTCTAATAATTGCCATGCTACTCATACTATTATGGCATTGCTATCAGCTGCAGCACCAAAGTAGAGCACAATACTCATGGC